CGTTATTCTCGCTCTCTCTCTCTCTCTCTCTCTCTCTCTCTCTCTCTCTCTCGATCTTATTATTAACTTATTATTTATAAATTACATTCTCACTTCTCTTCAGGATTATTGCTCCCGTCTAGGATTCAAAACCGCCAACTGGACTTTGGACGACGCGTTCGAATATATTTCCAACAAAGCGAATCGTTACGAAACGCCGTCGAACGCTTCGAAAAGAGAAGAAAATTCGGTGAAAATCTATGACAAGTATTCGCCTCGTATCGCCGAAAAGTTGAACGAGTTGAAGGATAATCCGAACGTGGACGACGAACGGGCGAACGATATAAACAACAGTGGTAAGTTGATGGATAGCAAAGGTGTGAAAGATTAAAACGAAACTGTATTCTTTCGATCCAGACGATTTGCGGTCGGCGATAAGCGGAAAAATCTCGTTCGAATCGTTGTGCCTAAAGTGTCTTCGAGTTTCCAACGATAAAATGGACGTGCATCCGTTCTTCGAGGGATCTTTGTGCAAAGATTGCTCGGTAAGAAGATCTTCGCCTAACGTTTTTTCCTTCTTCTCGAATCACTTTGCTTGGTCACGTTTCAGGAACGGTACAAACCCTGCATGTTCGTTTTCGGTAACGACTCCAAATGCGTAAGTATTTCCCCCCGTTTCCTCTCGTTTTAATGATCAACAACCCCCTTTCCCGCCTTTTTCTCTCGATCGATCAGTTTTACTGCACGGTGTGCGCCGCCTCCGGGATGGTGATCATCTGCGACAAAGAGGATTGCCCAAGGTAAATGTTCTCCCCTCGATTTTCGATAAAAAAATTTTTTTCCTTTCTTCGACAAATCTTTCCTCTTCACCAGGGTTTACTGCACCGCTTGCATGAAACACCTGTTATGCCCGACGACTTACGAGCAAGTGCTCCAAGAGGATCCTTGGGAATGCTTCCTCTGCACGTCCTCCATGCCTCGATCGTTCACCGACACGATCGTGAGACCGCGGGCTAATTGGAAGGACAGGATAATTAATATGTTTCGCACGAGTTGCGAGTCGAACGGGGGGCGACACTTGGTCGCAGGGCACAATCAAGAGAGGAGAAAAATACGAGTTCTCTCCCTGTTCGACGGCCTTGGCACAGGTACAGTGGCCTTCTCTCCGATTCTCCCCTCTTCTACCCTCCATTTATTCATCTTTCTTCGATCTCTACGAGAAGATAGGTGTTTTCAGGTCTGCTTGTGCTTCTGAAACTGGGCTTCAACGTAGACGCGTATTACGCGAGCGAGATCGATCCAGACGCGCTGTTGGTCACCGCCTCCCACTTCGGCGACCGTATCCTTCAATTGGGCAACGTGAAGGACATCACGAACAAGACGATCAAGGAGATAGCGCCCATCGATCTTCTGATCGGCGGATCACCGTGCAACGATCTCAGTTTGGCCAACCCGGCCCGACTCGGCCTCCACGGTCCGATTTTGCGTTTTCAAGTTGATATTAAAAACCTTGCCCGTGCCATTTGCACAGCTCTTGTTTCTATTATTTTTCAACGAACGACGAACAACAGTTTTAGAACTGTTATATATTTCGTAAACAGTTTAATAGAAATTATAGTAATGTTCCTTTGTTCAAAGGAATGTAACGATACGCTACCCTTAAAAATAATAAATAGTCAACCCTTTGCGCTCCAAGGGTGATTCTCAGACATCATTTGGATCGATGCAGCCGATTGGAACAACGGCAATATTTATTTATGTTTGATTTTTTTTTAAAATATCGCCTCACGAAAGATTCCTAACCTCTTTAAATATGCATGGAAGCATGGAGTATTGTAATGAAATTAGTGGATATGAGTTTGATTTTTCATTATTAAATAACGAAATTATTTCTATTCGTTCTGAGAAATTGACGACGGAGAGAAAGAAAATAGTGATGAAAATTGAGATGCAACAAGAGAAGGAAAATAGCGATAAAAATAGAGATATAGTATAAGAAGATGAAAAATAAGAATAATAGATGATAAATGAGAGCATTTTATTGGATTTGTAACGATATTTTATTACGATATTTCCTCTGATAAACTGAGAATGCTTCTCAGTAATTACTTTTATTGTCAAAATATCGCACAACAATATAGATTTTTAATACTCGATAAATTATCATTCTTTATATGTAGATAGATAAGATAGATAAAATATTAAAATACAAAAGTTTTATACGTTAATTCGTGTGTGAAATCAATTTAAGTTAGCCAAGAAAAAAATTCATCAACGGGTGAAATCGTGTGGAGTTGTTGGTTGTGGCCTGGAGTGCAAAGGGTTGTTAATATTAATAAGAAAAAAAAAAAAATTTAATTATAAGTAATGCTCAACAATATCTAAATCTAGGAAAATACTTACTCTAAAAATCTGATCGATACGATATTTATAATATTCTGTTAAATGTAAAGCTACTTTTTTACACTTGGTGACTATTTACATTTGGCCCGACATCAGACTCGTTAAAGCACGGGAAAGGTTTAATGATTAGTGTATAAGAGCACGCGTATCACGAATCTCTCGTTTCAGATCCGAAAGGAACCGGTATACTATTCTTCGAGTATCGTCGAATTCTGAAACTAGTGAAGAAGCTTAATAACGAACGACATTTGTTTTGGTTGTACGAAAACGTCGCCTCGATGCCCAGCGAGTACAGATTGGAGATTAACAAGTAAATGAAAATGGAAAATTTTCCTTACATTTTCTGCTTTTTATCCAATCGAAATTGGCTATATTTTCTTGTATAATAAAAGGCATCTAGGACAGGAACCAGACGTGATAGATTCGGCAGACTTTTCACCCCAGCACAGATTGAGACTCTACTGGCATAATTTCCCTATAGAGCCAGACTTGTTGCCGTCCCAAAGGGAGCAGGACGTGCAAGATATACTTACGCCACATTGCCAACGTTACTCGCTCGTTAAAAAGATACGTACCGTCACTACGAAAGTAAACTCGTTGAAGCAAGGTAATCGAGATGCATTTCTTTCGATAGCGATTCGATAATCCCTTCTTCCTTTTCTTTTTTCACAGGCAAACTTGCGTTGAAACCAATTATTATGAAGGACGAGAGCGACTCCTTGTGGATAACCGAACTCGAGGAGATATTCGGATTCCCTCGCCACTACACGGACGTAAAGAATTTATCGGCGACGAAACGGCAGAGATTGATAGGTAAATCTTGGAGCGTGCAAACATTGACAGCCATTTTCAAATGTCTTTGCCCATTTTTCGAGTGCGATGTCGTAGAAGCGAAGGACGAGTCGTAGAAACACGATTAAAGGGAAAAAGAACGATGGACCGATCGAACCTAAACGGATTTAAACAAAAGGTGATTAAAGTGAGACAAGTATATCTAATCAACCGTTTCGTTTCTTTTTTCTCTTTTATCCCTCCCCTCCCTCCTTTTTCCCTTCTTCTCTTCCTTTTAACCATTTATTTTCAACATTGTTACAGACAAATCGAAACGAAACAAACAAACAAGTTTTCTTTACATTTCAAACTGTTTCTCCAATACCAATTTTCTATTCCAACTTTCTGCGTCGTTTCCTTTCGCATATCGTATATACGAAATATTTTTCACGGTTCAAAAATATCATAATAGTATATTTTTGTACATTTGTTGTTCTTCTTCTTATAAGTAA